CTTTCCTGAACCCGTGCTGATTGTCATTAACTATCCCGTTTTCCTGAACAAATTCTACCAGATAATCCTTTATTATGCCCTCTAGCATTTTACAAACTACCGATGTTAGACTGACCGGCCTATAGTTCCCAGGTTGGCACCTTGCCCCCTTTTTGAATATTGGGACTACCGTAGCCCCAACTGGTCCCCCAAAACCTGCGTCCTTCTCCCCCCAACTGGTCCCCCAAATCCTGTGTCCTTCTCTCCCCCAACACCTGCGTACTTCTCCCCCCAATTGGTCCCCCAACACCTGCGTCCTTCTCCCCCCAACTGGTCCCCCAAATCCTGTGTCCTTCTCTCCCCCCAACACCTGTGTCCTCCTCCCCCCCTCTGGTTCTCCAACAACACCTGAGGTCTCCCCTCACCCCCACTGGTCCTCCAACACCTGAGGTCTTCTCTCACCCCCACTGGTCCTCCAACAACACCTGAGCTCTCCTCTCATCCCCACTGGTCCTCCAACAACACCTGAATCCTTCTCCTCCTCCCCCTGTATCCCCTTCTTACCTGCCCCCCTCAGGAGTTCTCTCCCTCAGGCTCTGTGTGGCTGTAGCCCTCTATTGGAGGAAGTGGGGGGAGGCGGAAATGTCCTCAGTCAAGAGAGGCGGCGGCCATTTTCTTGTAGCTCAGCTATCACATCTTCATCGCTTGGTGTAGTTCAAAGTTCCGATCACTTATCATTGTTTCCTATGATTTGTATCCCCCAATAAACATTTGATATATAAAGCGGAAATACGTCTCCCTGCCCCGGCTACGATATGAACGAAGAGTGAGATGTGTTCCTATATCCGCCCACTCCCGGTATTCAAGCACCATATACAATGTATCTCTGAGTGAAATGTATCAGTTGTGATCGTCTAGCAACGACACGCTGTCAGGATCAGTCTCTGAGGTTATTATTACCGTAGCTGTTCCTAAGTTTGGAGCAGCCTGATAATAACTAAAAATTAAAAAAAAGTGAATTTATTAAGCCGTCATATATTTTTTTTTACACTTATTTGTTTTTACAAAGTGTAAAAAAAATGAAATAAAGTGTAGAAAAAATTAGGAAAATAAAACTATTTTATATATAAATATAAGCTATCACATCTTCATCGCTTGGTGTAGTTCAAAGTTCCGATCACTTATCATTGTTTCCTATGATTTGTATCCCCCAATAAACATTTGATATATAAAGCGGAAATACGTCTCCCTGCCCCGGCTACGATATGAACGAAGAGTGAGATGTGTTCCTATATCCGCCCACTCCCGGTATTCTGTTGGAATCCTGGACCCACCGGAAGTGACGCGATGTCTAAACCGGAAGTATTCATCTCCATGGCGACGCGAGTCGGCTTGGGGGCGAGCCGGTCTCCATAGAAACAGACATATACATCGTACTGTATTGTGAGCCCCACTGACAGAGAGAGAGAGAGAAGATGTCCGAACTGGGGTCCGAGGAATTCGAGGAAGAGGCCGAACCCGACCTTGGGGTGAGACACAGGGGGGTGTATGGAGGTATACAGGGGGTGAATAGGGGTAATAATGAGGTGTATGATGGTATACAGGGGTGTATGGAGGATGCAGGGTTTGGTGTATGATGGTATATGGGGGGTGTATGGAGGATGCAGGGGG